GAAATATGTCAAATATAGTTTCTTAGCAATTTTATTTATTTTACGCGCAAATTTAACATACATTTGTCACATAATTAGCTTTTGCGAAATAGTAAAAAAGTCCCATCTAAATAATATTTAAAACTATTAATTGCTCAGTATTTAAATAGCTTAAAGCCTTGTCGAAAGCCGAAGATTTATTATATATTTAAATATGAGCTATTACCAATAATAAATATTACTTCGTGCATTGTGAAAACTCACGATTCGCACAGTTTAGCCTATTTCTAATAAAGATCAGGTTACTATGTAAATAGGCTAGCGCTGGCCGACATCTGTGCTCGGCTATTAAGACTACCTAGAGTAGTAGTTGCTTTTCGCTCTTGCCTCACTCTGTTATTGTTTGTCATAAGCGAAAAACGTTTGGCTCGGTGCACGCGCACCTAGACTGAACAACTGAACGTACGACCAGTTATTTGGGTGCATGTAAATAGATAAAGTTCGCCGTGAAGTCAAATGAAAAGAGTTGCGCAGTTATCGTGTGGAAGAGGGAGAGCCAACGAACACTAAGCTACAAGCAGATAGAACAGTAATTACGCTGTAGAGAAGGCCGCACTAAATGACAACAATAAATTCACAGTGAAGAGCGAGGCAAAAGCTAATTTGGAAGTGAATGAACGCATTTGCACACATGCACACATATGCACACACACACACATACATATACGCTGACAAACCTTAGCCCATTGGGGGTTGGTTGGCATTCCGATTTCGTAGTCAAGCGTTTCAGCCTTTTGGCATTTCATTATTTGCTTATAATCAGCGACTTTCAGCTCTAACTTCATATGCTATTAAATTTATTCTAATTATAAAATTCGCCATAGTTTGGCGGTGCTCTTTTTTATGATCGCTAATAACCGTTTCCATGTTAACAGAATATCTATGTGAGCAGTTTGAAGTCTGTTATGACTGCGAATGAATGTCCGTAAACGGGTTGAAGTCTGTTATGACTTTGGATAAATGTACGCAGCGCACGAGTGCATTTTGAGTACATTTGCACCTAAACGGCGCCAACAGCTGAGGTAAGCAAAAATTGAAAAAACACAACACTTATGTAGGCTTTGCAATGAGTATGACTAAGAATTTGTATTGTTGTTTGTTGGCCCACCTGCATCGACGATAGTGATTGAGTCATGGGGCGCACGCGACCCCAACAATTTGATACGCATTTATTAAATGCATGTCTGCATTTGATTTATCAATCACTCACCTGGTTCAAAATATATTCCAAATTAAATAGATAGATGGCGAATTATGCAGCAGAAAACAAGGTGCACATAAAAACACACACACGCGCGCGCTTACACACTCACATATGTATGTACGTATGCTGTGTATGTATATATTTTTATTTATATACTAACGTCACAGTTCGCGTTATTATTTTATTATTTTTTTTTTATATTGCAAATTAATTTATTACAAAAATAGCCTGCGCTAGTTTCTTAATTGCATTTTTCACATTTTTTGTTATTGTTATTTATTTGTTTTAATGACTTTCGCAGTCCCGATTTATGTTGTATTCTCTTTTTCTGACGCAGCTAACTTTGCAGTGGGGTGCTGTAATGCGGTTGGTTCACCATAGACTAACAGCGCGTTGCTATGTTGGAACTCAAAAGAGACTGTGGATGGTTAATAATCGATTACTTTCGATAGACGCGGAAAATTTGAAAACGCCAAGTAATACTAACATAAATTTTATTTATTTACTATGTATTAAAGCATTATTTTACATTTTTGGAATGTCTTTTTATGGTAATGAATGAATTCGGCTATGTTTTTCTAGATACTCTCTGCGGGTGAAGCTCTTCATGCACTCCAAGCACTGAAAAGGCCGTTCTCCCGAATGAGTGAGAATGTGATTGACCAAATGGCTGCTCTGCGTAAAGGCCATGTCACAATGTGGACACTGATAGGGTCTGTTACCAGAATGGACACGTTTATGCCGCTCCAGATTAACACTTTGGGTAAACGCTTTTGGACAGTGCATGCACTTGTACGGCCTTTCGCCGGAGTGAACCCGGCTGTGCCGCTGCAGATCTGCGCGATTCGAAAATGTCTTGGGGCACAGGCAACACTTGAAGGAACGTTCACCAGAATGGGCGCGTATGTGCTCTTGCAGATACCATTTGCTAGTGAAGGCCTTTGAGCATTCTGTGCACTTGTATGGTCTATTGATGTGGCCATGCCGCTCCAGCTCCTGCCATGCACGCAAGTGAATGCGTATGTGATTGGCCAGATGATTACTCTGAGTAAAGGTCTTCGCACACTCGAGGCACTTATAAGGGCGCTCTCCTGTGTGAACTCTCATATGCTTGTCCAGGTTGCAGCTCTGATTGAAGGTCTTTTGGCAGTAAATGCAGGAATAGGGTCGCTCGCCAGAATGAATCCGAATATGCCTCTTTAGGCTGCCTTGGTTGGTGAAAGCCTTTGAGCAAACGGGACATATCTGCGCTTTGTCTAATTTGCTTGGTTGCAATTTGACTGGTTCATGGAGCTGTTCACTTGTGTTTGAGTTGGCTATCGGTTCTATGAACTCCTCCTCCTCGCTCTTTATGTGAACTTTTTGCTCCTCTTCCTCTTTTTCCTTAGCCTCTACTTTTATGGTGCACTCCGGATATTGCCACGCCTCGCGCAGCAGCTGGCAGAAGTGTTGATAGCTCTGCTCGCATCTTCGTTTGAAACGATATGCGTTCTGCGTTTCCAGCACGCAGGATAAACAAATTTGTTTGGGAAACGGATCGTCGCGTCTCACCAGACAGTCAACGCATTCGTTTAGCATCTCGGCTAGACAGGGCTCGGATTCGTCGGATTGGTCGCGCTTCGCGAATATATCCACTAGAGTAACAGCGCTGCTTGTGCAAACGCGACAAACTTCATCCATTTTAAATGGAAAGTCAAAGATTTGAAAATTCTCTATTTGTTTATGTTTTCTTTCTATATCAATACATATTGTAAGCTGCAGTCAGGTTATCAGCAAATACCTAAAAATATACTAGTGGTGCATTAGTAAAAATACGACGAGCTGTATTTTTCTACTCAGTATCGATAACGATTATATTTATTTTATTTTTAAATAGAGTTTTTTAATGTTTTTATTTATCATTGTAATTAAGAAGGTTTTACAATTTTAAGATTCACAAGTTATATATTATTTACCACATTTAGCTTGCAACTAATATTGTGCTTATTTAATGAAATGTCATCGAACATATCGAATAATGCGGCGAAGTTTGGTTAACAGTGCAACATGTTCCTACACCAATAGGATTACTCTCTCCGCTCTCATAAGATTACTTGCACGTACATCTTATTGGACTTTTGAGAACAGCACTTGTTAACATCGTGCGACGACGCTAACAGCTGTTACACAAAACTGTTATTGTATATCTTGCTGTTGACGCGTGTGGTCGGGTTTTTTCGGCGGTAAATGCGGGTATTTTAATCTAAGCAACAAATTTCAAGTGCAAAATAAAAAAAAAATACAAAAAATTGATGAAAAAATTGCAAAAATTTCTAAATGTGTTAAAGATTGCGATAAACATAATATTAGTTAAATAAAGGTAAATTATAGCAAATGCAAAGCAATTTTTAGCGTGTGTGTGTAGCAAAATCGATTATTCAATCTGTGTGTGTACGTGAGTGTATACGTATGCGTATGCGTGTAGCACGATGCATGTGTGAGTGAGTAAGCAAGAATGTGTGTGTTTGTTTTAAGTTTTTTATGCACTGAACGTACAACTGTAAACGGAAAACTTATCATAATATGCCAATTTAACTAATTTAAAATACAGCAAAGACAATTGAGAAGACAGAAATACGACAAAGCAAACTGCAAAATGTATACCAAAAGCAGAGCGTAAAAAGTCCAACCAGAAACGTACACACACATACACATACCTTTGCTCACACTCGCGCACACACACATATACAGAGATAAACGGCTAAACGCGTATACAAAGTAAATGAGCGCAAAAGCAATTGCGAAAAAGAAAAACAAGTGCAAAAGCAAAACACAGTCTATGTGTGTGTGAATGTGTATGTTTGCGTGTGAGTGCAAAAGCAAACGCAAAGCAAAAGATTTAATAATTAATTTAATGCTTTAGCTTGAGTTTAGCTGCGACAAAAATTCTCACTGAGCTGGCAGCTGATGCAGCTGCTAGTGGGTGCGAGCGAGCACGCACCATATGTCGGTCATCAGCTGTTCTGACACTTGACACGATCGTCGCCCGTGTTGTTTTTTCTTGGCTTTTTTTTCTTTCTGTATTTGACTTTACTTTTTTGCTTTTGCTGTTGTTATATTTTCTTTGCTGCTGCCTAAACGAGTTGCGCTTTGATTTTTTCGTTGTGTTAATTAATGCAAATTGGTTTATTTATTGAGTTAAATTGTTTTCTATGCATAGTTTGGTTTCAATTGACGCAAAAGCAAATGCAAAGACAAACAAAGACAAGAGCAAATTTAATATATGAAACAAGTACTAAAACGCAAAGACAAATTAAAAATTAAAAAACAGTGAAAAGTAAAAGAAAATAAAAATACCAATTGTCTGGCAACTCTATAAAATTTAAATGTGCGCATATTAAAAAAATAAAACAAAATGAAATCAAAATTTTCAATGCTAATTTTTGTTTTATCCTTTTCTTACACCATTCTCTTTGCAGCTAAACAGCAAAAAAAAAAGAAAAGAAAATTTAAATTAAAAAGCGGAATTTAAACAAATTTCAAGTGTTAAACCAAATGTTAGTCTAAGCTTAAAGTGTAAAACTAGTTTAAGCCCGCAAAGTGTTAACAAAAGTAAAAACAAAACACAGTTAAATATATAAAATTAATGAAAACAAAACTGCAATAAATAATTGAAACTAAAACAAAATCCAACAACAACAAAAGCTGAAGCTTCCACTAATCCAACAAGAGCACGAGTTAAACAGTCCGATTTGACGGCTAAGAAAACGAAGGCTAAACGAATAAAAACGGCTAAACGTGAATAGCTGCGCTTTGCAATCAGCCCAATTGCATTAAAAATTTCCTTTTTACCGTTGTTAATCAATTCGCCAAAATAGCTAAATCCATTTTACAATTTCTAAAAAAGAAAAAATCCCATCATAGTTCAGGGACGGCAAGCGGCAGCGGCAGCGGATCAGAGGGCAAGCTACAGCAGCAGAACAGCAACGAGGAGGAAGGCGGTGGTGCAGGTGGAGGACAGCAGGAAGCAGCCGCCGCTAGCCACAAAATAACGCCGCCGACCACAGCCACATCAGCATCATCTGCAGCAGGAGCAGCAGGAGCAGGAACAGGAGCAGGAGCAACAGCATCAAGAACATCAGCGTCAGGTGTTGATTCAGGAGTAGGAGCCGGAGCCGGTATAGCCAAAGCGAAAGACACAGCTGCTGCCTCTGGTGAGGAGCCGCCGCTGGCGAACAATCCAGGCAACAGCAACAGCTCAAACCAGGCCCAGGTCTCGGCCAGCGCCACGTTTCGTTTGTCCTCGCTGACGGGCACCATCTCGAAAATGGGCAACAACGCGACCACATCCAACAAGAAGGTGGATGCCGCCGAGACGGTGAAGGAGTTTCTCGAACAGGCCAAGGAGGAGTTCGAGGATAAATGGCGTCGCAATCCAACCAATACGGCGGCGCTCGATGATTTCGAGCGGATCAAGACACTGGGCACCGGCTCCTTTGGCCGCGTCATGATCGTCCAGCACAAGCCAACAAAAGACTATTATGCCATGAAGATATTGGACAAGCAGAAGGTGGTCAAGCTGAAGCAGGTGGAGCATACGCTCAATGAGAAGCGCATCCTGCAGGCGATACAGTTCCCATTCTTGGTCTCGCTCCGCTATCACTTCAAGGACAACTCCAATCTCTATATGGTGCTGGAGTATGTGCCCGGCGGCGAGATGTTCTCCCATCTGCGCAAAGTCGGAAGATTCTCGGAGCCCCACTCCCGTTTCTATGCGGCACAGATTGTGCTCGCCTTTGAGTATTTGCATTATCTGGACCTCATCTATCGCGATCTGAAGCCGGAGAATCTATTGATTGATTCGCAGGGTTATTTGAAGGTCACCGATTTCGGTTTCGCCAAACGTGTAAAGGGTCGCACCTGGACGCTGTGCGGCACACCCGAATATCTGGCACCCGAAATTATCTTGTCCAAGGGCTACAACAAGGCCGTCGATTGGTGGGCGTTGGGCGTGCTGGTCTATGAAATGGCCGCCGGCTATCCGCCGTTCTTTGCGGACCAACCCATACAGATCTACGAGAAGATCGTCTCCGGCAAGGTGCGTTTCCCCTCGCACTTCGGCTCCGATCTGAAGGATCTGTTGCGCAACTTGTTGCAAGTGGATCTGACCAAACGCTATGGCAATCTGAAAGCGGGCGTCAATGATATTAAGAATCAGAAATGGTTCGCCTCCACGGACTGGATAGCGATCTTCCAAAAGAAAATCGAAGCGCCGTTCATACCGCGGTGTAAAGGGCCCGGAGACACAAGCAATTTCGATGATTACGAAGAGGAGGCGTTGCGAATTTCCAGCACCGAGAAGTGCGCCAAGGAGTTTGCCGAATTCTAGAAGAAGATGCACAAACAACAATTCGCATTCAATTCACCATTGTCGCTACCATCGTCGTTGTTGTCGTCGTCGTCGTCTCGTCTATATGTCTACAACTTACTACAACTACAACTACAACAACTACTACTATTACTAGTGCTACAACTACAACTGCAGCAACTACAGCAACTTTTACATCTACTTGGGTCTAGCTGGTCATATACTTATCATACAACACAAACGCAATGCTGAACATCAACACAATTCACATAGACACGCTCACTCATACACACACACACACAACAACAGAAACCCCAATTGGATTTTTCATACCCAGTCGGAACAAACAACAAATAACAGTGAGTATCCAATTGGAATTATTTATGCTTTATTGTTTTTGCTTTTATTTAACATGAAAATAGAGTCTTTTTATGAGTATTTTAACAGTGAGAAAATGCAAATATTTATTTTATTTAAATATATATATAATATTAAAAATTAAAACCGAAATTTATTTATTATTTAAATAAATATATCATATATGCAGTTACATTTGAGCATTAAAGGTTAAGGTTTAGAGCTGAGAAATATTACGCAGATGACGTAATTATCTTTTAGTATAAACATTTAACATAATAATATAATTTTTTAATATTTAATATACGAAAAAAAATTGAGCTTCTACGTCTCTTCGGTTTTCTGTTTCAAAGCCAACAAAAATCCACCAGAAACCTTCGAAAAAGTCTAGCCTCGTTCTTGTCTACCGTCTTTAATCGAATGCTGTGGTTTGCTTTTAGTTTCATAAACACGCAAATTTATAGGAAATGAATCTCTAGCTCAACATTTCGCTTTATTTATACAGTTTGGTGTCGCCACAAGTCTGGCTATTGGATATCATTGATTTATGCATGTGTGTATTATCTTTCAGTCGTTCAGGTTTTCTTAAATAAACAAACGTCATTTACACTCTAGATTTACACTCGGTTCCCTAACCGATCTGTGTTGTGATATATCCCTGCAAAGTTGTGGAAAATTTGCTCTATAAGTGACTCACGATTGATGGTTGTTTGTTTCGCTTTGGACATCACCTTGAAGTTGATGAAGCACAGCGTTCGCCTCTTAAGCACACCAATCCGAACTGAGTTCATCAACTCAAATTGTTCGGACTGTGCTTTAGACAGCTTCTGCTTCCTCCGTCTCCAGCTGCTCCCCTTTGCCTCCCTCTCCCCGTTTTGTTGAACGCGTGCCGGTCATTCTTTTAATTAGTTCGACTCGCTGCAGCTGTCAGTGAGTCGAAATTCTTGAAAATCTCTATATGTGTCGGTGGGTCGTCAAAGGCTTTGGCAACCTGCTCGTCCCACATGTTGAGCACATGTTCCTTCTATTCAAATAATTCCAAATACGTGCTCTTTCTCGACTCTGACCGGACGGACGGTCAGTTGCCATTCGCCAGTTGCTGGGACTCACAACTGTCAGAGCTTTTATTATTTATTTATTTATTTATTTGTCATTATTTTTCACATGTTCAAATGCTCAATGAATCAATGAGTTGAAAATAATTCACGTTTGACACTAACTGTGCGAAGTTAGATAAGAAATGTCTCGGTTTCTGTCATAGGCGGTAATAGAATACTTTGTGGCTATACATATACTACGAATATTTTACTACCAGGCTGATTATATAATATCGGAAAGAGATAGTAGAGTGCATTATCTAATATCGGAAATGAATATAGATAGGTGTGTACTATAAATTATGCATCTATAACCGAAAGAATTTGTAATAATACAAACTTCTGAG